CTGTACAGATGGTCAGGCTCACCCCGTTCCCACAGCTCCATCGACCCTGTACCGATGGTCAGCTGAGCTCGCCCAGTTCCCACAGCTCCATCGTCCCCTGTACAGATGGTCAGGCTGCCCCGTTTCCACAGCTCCATCGTCCCCTGTACAGACGGTCAGGCTACCCCGTTCCCACAGTTCCATCATCTCCTGTACAGACGGTCAGGCTACCCCGTTCCCACAGTTCCATCGTCCCCTGTACAGATGGTCAGGCTCACCCCAGTTGCCACAGCTCCCTCGTGAATGTTACCTTTGCGCAATCTTCTTCTCTAAAAGCAGTCTTTTAAAGATCTCCTTGGACGGCACATCCAACTCAAAGATGACCATGGGGATGATTGACCTCGCCTCCAAGAGATCCATCTGGTGTGGGGTAACAGGGTAACCATCGATGACCACACTAACAGACAAACAGAAAAGCAAAAGTCCCACAGTCCGTTTCTCTCCTAATTCTCTTATGTCTTCCAGAACAAATCTCTGTCTTTGAGCATTCCTCAGCTTTCTCTTATGACACTGATTTTGTTGTTGTTCTTTTCCTTCATTATCTTTACGTCTTAACCCTCCGTCATCCCTAGACCTCAAAGCGGGCAGTGTACACGTGGGCACAGCTTCGAAAGTGGTTGGAGGAGACAGGCATTTGTACCTTTGTATGCTCAGTGCCACACATCTAAGTTTTGGTAGAATTTGGAGAGCCACACCTGTTGCCTTGCAAACTGTGTGTCCCTGGTGTTATTAATATAAGCACAAACAACAGAATGAGTGTAGGAAGACCTAGATTTGCAACCTGGTTTCAAATGCCTTGGTGTTTACACTAGGAGAACATTCTATTTACCTCTTAGAGTTGTTTTAAAGGTTAGGGAGCAGGCATGAAAAACAACGCGAACAGGGCATGCCATGTACTAGATGCTTAGTAAGTCGGAGTATTCTGGGAAGAGACATTCTTGTTGTAGGAGAATGGGAAATTGTGAGGAATTTGGAATGGGGAGTCTGAGAGGCACACCGCACATGTGAGTAAGCACAAGGTGGGAAAATCACAACCCAATAGTCTGAGATAGCAAGGTTGTCTATCACACTGAAAACAAACAAAAAAATAGGGTTTTTTTTCCACCCAGAAATTCTTGGAGTGGCCTCACAGACAAGGCAGCAAGCTGGCCATGTGGCTGATAGCCACTGGTAAAGGTCTGTAAGTCTTGGGTGACAAGGTGCACTTGCCAGTGCTCTCCAGCCAAGCGCAGGCTTTAGAGAGGTCTCTCAGTAGAGATAATGACAGCCACCCCACTGTAGAAGAGTCTTCCAGAGAATGACATTTTTCCCTTTTAAACAGTGGTTACTTCTATACACTGGGAAGGGTCACTTGAGTGGCTCTCAGAACTGAGGAGGTAAACCTACAATGGACAAGCAGTCTTCATGATGGAATTAAGATGAAATAAACCCGTGACCCAACCAAAGTTGTCCTCATAGGGGAAAACTGAGCACCAGGGGAGAAGTGACTCAGTGAGGACATGTCCTTTCCTCTCCCAGAGGCTGTCACCCCGTGCTCACTGGCCCCTGAAATGAGAGAGACCATTCAATGCCTAGACTCAAACCCACCAGCAAAGAAGAGCCAGAAGGTTCTAACAATTCAGTGTCTTGACTGAGCCAGGGGAGTCTAGGACTAGGACTCAGGACCAGAGAGTACCAGGGTTCACTGGGGTGTGACCAAGGGCTGTAACTGACAAGCAAAAGGGTACAGCAGAGGAGGGGGAGCTGAGGATGAAGAACTCAACTTTTCTGTGCAAATACGGCTTTGTAGGAGGGGCACTGCTCCCTGTACATGGACCTGAACCTAAAAGGAACCGTGTCCCTGGGACCACGTTGTCTGAGAACTAAGGAGACCTCCTCCTCCATCATCTGACAGAACGGTAAGAACTGCTGGGGTAGGGGAGTTGGTGGCCTTGTCTGTGGGCTGTGCAGGAGTTGCTGCAGAGAGTAATGAGGGCTGTGGGCGAATCGGCCATGGGTTCAAGTCACGAATCTTGACAGGAAAAGATACCTGCTCAAGTAAGCGCTCAGTCTGAGAAGTAGGCTGTGCTCCTCCCCTGCACAGGCACACCAAACCTTTTAAAACAACCCCAGGTATCTTGATGGTTATTTCCCACCCCTTCCTCCCTGTTCCACCTACTTACCCTATAGTATTGCACACGCTTTCCAACAGAGAGATATCTAAAGCTTGAATAGCCAGTTCGTCAGGTACCGTCATCCCCTTGTGAAGGTGCCAGTTTAACATCAGTGACAGCTCCGAATCTGGGTGGTTGCTTAAAATTCCACGCAACGCATCTCCCACCGACAAACGTCTTAAGCCGTAGTCACTTGCTAGTTTTTTGGCAACTGGAAAGACACAAAGCATGAAGCCTATTTCACTCCACAGGTTCATCAGCGAGCCTGACTTTCAGATTCCGGCTTATGGCACGGATGACAAGCTTATCTGCATATTCTCCAAAGAGCTATCGAGGTTGTCGGCAGTACTTCAGGTTTGTGACTTTAGGATCTGGTTAAGGAACCAACTGGGTTCCCTCTTTTCTTTATTAAATAATCAAAGCAATGCTTAAGCAATGTGCTTCTTCTGTGTGAGGCGGCAAGTTTGGGGGAAGGACTGCAGTAATCCTGTGTGGACATGGTAGTTGGTATGCTGTCTGAGGTAAGAATGTGACAGTGCTACTGGACTGGATACACCATTCCCCAGTCCAGCTGTGGATTCCAGGCTGCAATGAGGATAGCAAATCCTATATCCATCATGGGTCTCAGTCAACCCTCTAGGAAATATTTTAATTGACATACTTTAGATTTTGTTTTATAATTTTATTTGACCCATGTATATATCTTGTGTACCATATGTGTGCCATACGTGAGTACATGTAGAGGCCAGAAAAGTAGTTCAGATCCCCTGGAATTGGAGTTATGGACAACCATAAGCTGCTATGCGGGTGCTGGGAATTGAACCTATGTCCTCTAGAAGAGCAACCAGTGCCCTTTACTGCTGAGCCATCTCTCTAGCTCCTGACTTTACATGTTGATCATGGTTTATAGCTCTGTCTGTCTGTGTGCATTCTGGGATAGGATCTTTAACTGGTCTAGACCTTTCTGAGCAGACAGGTCGGCTGGCCTAGGGGAACTGTCTGTCTCAGTCTTCCTCAAGCTGAGATTACAAAATGTGCACCATCATATCGATGTTTTATGTGGATTCTGGAGCTGGACCTTAATTCCTATGTCTGCAAGGCAGACACTTTAGCCATGGAGCCAATTCCATGGACCCCTGGACAAACAATGTAAAAGAATGACCTTTTAAAAATTAATAAATTAGCTGGGCAGTGGTGGCGCACGCCTTTAATCCCAGCACTTGGGAGGCAGAGGCAGGCAGATTTCTGAGTTCGAGGCCAGCCTGGTCTACAAAAGTGAGTTCCAGGACAGCCAGGGCTACACAGAGAAACCCTGTCTCGAAAAACCAAAAAAAAAAAAAAATTAATAAACTAAAAAAGACACAAATAAGTAGCTGGATTAAGGGAGACAATAAAGGATATGAAAAAGAAATTCAATGAAGAGAGAGAGAGGGAAGGCACAGGGAAAAGACCCATCAATGAAGAGAGGGAGAGAAGGAAGGCACAGGGAAGACACCCAGAAGAACCAGTATGATGAGCAAGTATGTGGTGAAGGGATGGGAGAGAGAGAAGCAGAACAGACTGTGAGAGAAGCAGAGAGAAGTGAGGTAGAACTGCAGACTCGAGGAACAGCCTGAGTAGCCTGAGCTGTCACCTGAGGTCACAGCGATGTCCTAGTGTGCTGCTGCCAAGGGTCATGTCTGGGCCCATGGTCTACAGCAGCAAGGGTCTATGTCAATGTCTGTGGCCCGTGTAACCATCAAAGGCCACAGGAAAGAACTTGCTCTTTACCAAGCTGGCTTTGAACTCAGAGATCTGCGTGGCTCTGTCTCCTGGGATTAAAGGCTTGTATGACCATGCCTAGACCTAAATTTAGCTGGGTAGGATCTTACCTCAAGGTTGCTACTCCCTTAATTCAATTTAATATCCTTGTACATAGGATTCAGCTCCATTTCACTTCCTGGTGTCCCTTTAATACTCGAAACATATATTTTATATTTTTTTCTTTCTAAGCTTGCTATGCTTGTTCAAAACACTCTTCATGAGACTTAACCAGGGAACAAAATCTATGATGATTTTTGAAAATTCTGAGACTTACTTTGTCAATGCATGTCCTCTCCCTCAGCCTTGAGCGGGCCAGAAAGACCTTGTTTGCCACAATAGACCTAGTAATAGAACCTAGGTGGAGTCCTCCACGTTGGCTGCACATACAGCCTGCTACAGGAACTTAGAAGAACAGACTGCCCACTGAGCTTGCCTTGCGATATAATCCAGCTGAAACAAAGGAAGGGTTCCATGGGCTTTCCCTATATATACAAGATCTGAATATTAAACTTCGAGCCTTGATCAGAGAACTTTGTCTTGGCTTCATGCTTCTCTAACTCTGTCTCTTTTTCATTTCCAGCCTCCCTTTCAGGTGAACCCAGTTTGTCCATGGCTGCAGGCAGCTACAAATGCAATGAATCTGAGTCTCTTCACCTTAGTCTTAGGCAGACTCCTCAGACAAGGGCAAAAAGCACATTCTTCACCAAAGTACCACAAAAATAGTCTCTAGGCCACATTCTGAAGTTCTTCTCCACTGAAACCTCTTGGGCCAGGTTGGCACAGTTCAAATCACTCTGAGCAACAAAGTCTTCCATATTCCTACTAGGATGGCCCATTAAGCTCCATTTAAAGCATTCCACTGCTTTCCAAATCCAAAGTCCCAAATCCACATTCTTCCAAACAAAATCATGGTCAGGACTATCACAGCAATACCCCAGTCCCTGGTACCAGCTTTTGTCTTAGTTTGCGCTTTACTGCTGTGAAGAGACACTATGACCAAGGCAACTCTTATAAGGACAACATTTAATTGGGGCTGGCTTACAGGTTCAGAGGTTCAGACTGTTATCATCAAGGTGGGAGCATGGCAGCATCCAGGCAGGCATGGTGCAGGAGGAGCTGAGAGTTCTACATCTTCATCTGAAGGCTGCTAGTGGAAGACTGGCCTCCAGGCAGCTAGGATGAGGGTCCTAAAGCCCACACCCACAGTGACACACCTAATAGTGCTGCTTCCTGGGCTGAGCATATACAAACCGTCACAACGGTGTACTGTGTGATACACCATGGCATACACAGCTTCCACGGAGAGATTTTATTTTGTTTTGTTTTTCTTTTCAGGGGTAGAGAGGTTGCAGGGAGGGGAGAGGACAGATAACAGGGATGGGGAGATGAGTGGGACTGGGATGCAGGATGTGAAATTCACAAAAAATATAAGAAGTTTAAAGAGAGAAAAAGGAGAGATGCTTGAGAAGAACCAACCAGAAATCTTGAAAATAGATATCTCAAATCCAACTTAAAATTTAAAAGAAGCAATTGAAAACACCATCAACAGCTTAGATGAAGTGGAAGAAGACCAGGGCTTGAAGACAAAGCCTGATGACTTATCATATTCAGAGAGCAATAAAGAAAAATAAGACAGAGTAAACAAGACACTTGAGATCTATAGGACACTGTCAAAAGATCATTTTAAGAGGAGTGTGATCAGTTCAGACAAAGAAGAAATGCAGGAATACAGAATGAAAAGACAGAAAATTTCCTGTGTTTTGGGGAAGATACAAATATCTGTTTACAGGAGACATTTAGAATCTCAACTAGACACAACCAGAACAGAAACTATAATTAAACTTTATAATTAAATGCCAGAAGTACAGAACAAAGAAGGAATATCAAAATATGTATGAAAGAAGTATCAGATCACACATACCACACTTCTCAGAAGAAACTCCAAAAGCCAGGAAGGCTTCAGGGAAGAGGTTCAAGTCATAAAGGAAAATAGATTACTATATTGAACCAAGTTATCATTCACAGTAGAAAGAGAAAAGCATAAACTAAAGGAATTCGTGATGCTGGAGAGGGTTTCACTGGGGGAGATGAACACAACTACCAAATGAGAACTAGGAACAAATCAAATACTGTCAATTCAGCAAAGCATCCCAAGTCTAGCAGTAAGAAAGTAGAAATGGACACAGATTATTCCAAATAACTAGAATGGAAACAGAATCAGGGCAGGAATAGCACACACCTTTCAACAGATAAGTGACGCACATAAATGGAATTAGGTTGGCTGATTGGATTAAAACAAGCCCCAACAGTTTGCTGCCTGCAAGAAATTCATTTTTACCAACAAAGGTATACATAGACCAAAAACAAAGGATGGAGAATAAAAATCTAAGCCAAGGAATCCGAAAGCAAGCTAGATTAACTATATTCAGATCTGACCAAACAGACTCAAGCCAAATTAGTTAGAAGAGACAATGGTCATGTCACATTGATAAAGGGACTGTAACAGGCCCCCAGACTTTAGCACAACTGACTCCATAATGAAAGTACCATCCAGGCCATAAAGCTTGGCATGTAGACATTCCCATCTTCCAAAACAAAAACAAAGACTGGCTAACAAAGACTTTCTGTTGGCTTAAACCCATGTCAGAGTAGTCTTCTCTTGTGGATAGGCTACCACAGCACTGAGCTGAGTGGGTGTGGAATTGGTGTGGGGAGAGGTGGGGTGCGGTGCATCTGAATGTAACAACAGACAATGCATTGGATTCTCAAATAACTACTTTTTTTAAAAAAATAAAAGGAATGATGTGATTTAAATGTGAAATGTCGCCAACAGACTCACATGCTGAACACTTGCTCACCAGCTGCTGGCACTGCTTTGGAAAGTTATTGTTTGTTTGGGTTGAGATGTGTGGCCCCTTAAGATGGGACACTGCGGGGGGGGATCTTTTAGAGTCACAACCCAGTCTGCTTTTAGCCTGAGCTGTGTGCTTCCTGACCTGCTGAGATGTGAAGACGTGGCAGATGCCCTCGCTCACTGCCTTCGACTCAGCCAACCACACCCATCACGGACTGTGAGCCCTAAACTGCGAGCCGCGATAGGCCTTTTCTCCCTTAAACTGCTCCTGTCAGGTTCTTGTCACCATGGTGAGAGGACAACTAACGGGTATCAAGAAGACACAAGTCTATAACGTCAGAGCACCCGCGTCCGTGAATAAACGCTACTGGACATAAAGTGAAAGATTTTCCCAGTGCAGCCATGGCAGACCGTTTCAGTAGCTCATTGTCACTGATAATGATCATCTAGACCAAAAATAAAATAAGACAATAAAAAAGAAAAATCCTTTAAGAGTCCTCCACAAGATACTTGCAAATAGTAACTTTTATATTGAGATCCTATCTCCATCCAGCCACAATGATTATTATCTTTATTTATTTATTTATTTATTTATTTATTATTTGTAAGTACACTGTCGCTGTCTTCAGACACCCATATGAGGGCATCAGATCTCATTGCAGATTGTTGTGAGCCACCATGTGGTTGCTGGGATTTGAACTCATGACCTCTAGAAGAGCAGTCAGTGCTCTTAACCGCTGAGCCATCTCACCAGCCCAATGATTATTATCTTAAAAAGATAAATTCTGCAGGGTGGTAGAAGTGCATACCTTTAATCCCAGCACTCAGGAGGCGGAGGCAGGGGCAGACAGAGGCGGATCTCTGTGAGCTCCAGGCCAGCCTGGTCTACAAAGCAAGTTTCCAGGACACAGGGCCACACAGAGAAACCCTGCCGCAAAAAACCAAAATTAATTAATTAATTAATTAATTCTGGCAAAGACTAGAGAGAAAGGGTCCTTTTCTATGGTGTTGGTAGGGGTGTAATTAACACAGTCACCGTGGCAAATCTCAGATTTTATGGGTGGTTCTTGGAGAGTTTGGGTGCTGGGTGCTGGGTGTCAGGGCTCCCTTGATGCTTGAGGAGCAACGACACTCACCTGTCGTTTTCCCCGACTTGGGAGGCCCCACAATCATAATCCTCACAGGCATGGTGGCTTTGGGCTTGGGTTGCCGGATGTATTTGATGGGGTTCATCATGAACTTCTCCTTCGTTTGCTTGCTAGATAGGAAGTAGATGTAGTGGCGATGGATTACAGGGTTCAGCGGGTTCTCTGCATTCTCAACAGGTTTGATTGTCTCTCCTTCGCTTAGCTGCGGTACAAGTGAATTCACAGGTCAGATCTAACTTATAAAGGCATGTCCTTCAGCACATTTGAAAAAAAAATGTAAAATATAAAGACATAATCTTCCTTACATAGTACTAAGCCCCTAATTGTAAATATTATAAAACAGCTGCGTACAAAGTGCAGGCGGTTCCATAGCAGATGCGGTAAAACAAGGTCAAAACGGTAAACTATAGGCTAGGTGTTCTTGGAACAGGAGGAAGAGGCACGAGTGGGCATACACAGAAAGCTCCACATGATGGGCCTGGGAGACGGTGGCCAACTGCTAGACAAGGTGAGAGGCCTCAAGCAGAGCTTGCCATAGGCCTCTTATCCTTGGACACCACCTTGGCAATACCACCCTGTATGTGCCTGACCTCGGAAGCTAAGCAGGGTTGAGCCTGGTTAGTACTCGGATGGGAGGCCTTAAATAGTACTACAAGAAAATAAATTACACGGCTAACCTGCCCTGTCTGGAGTTTTGCTATAGTATCTGAGACAGGTAATACAGGTAAGTCCTGTGCCGTTGTCTTTTAGGATAGACAAATTTATTCTGCATTTTTGTACAGATGAAATCTTGTCGCATTATTAACAACAGCCATGGAATGTGAAACACGAGATGGCAGGGTTAGCCTGAGGTGTGGGTACGGAATGGGGCAGCCTGAGGAATTAACTGATGTTAGGTTCGATGATCTTTTGATCTTTCTTGGACATGGAAGAGTGGGCATGAAAGTGTGTCCTGCTCTTCCCTGTGAGAGTTTTGGCAGGATGGGGACTTGATCAATGGTTATCATACGCACTGACGCTCATCCTGAGGGGAATGACATCCCTGGCTGGGAGGAAACGCTAGGGACACAAAGAAAGTCAGGTGGAGCAGAGGGTTGGCTCCACGTTATGTATCTTCTAGCAGAAGCAATGGTGAGGGTCAGATGGCTCCATCCCAGCCCCCCAAACATTAATGGAGAACACTCTATAATAATGGCCACATCTTCCTGAGAAACGTTCAAACAGTGAGGGATGCTGGTTTCCTGATGGCTTTTCTGACGTTACCTTCACAGGGTCCCAGTAGCCAAATGAGCTCATGTGTTTGTAGGTGAAGGCAAGCATTTTGTGAGCGAGGTGTGAGGACACCGGGTAACACTTTTCAAAAATGCTTTCACGGTTCTCCACCAGGGGCTTCAGTTTCAAATTCATTACATATTGTACAATGTGTATTTTCCTAGCTCCGTTGACCATAATTATTGGTATCAGAACTTTGTCGAATTCATCCTGATAAGAGAAATTACAAAGCTTGATGCATCTACTGTTTCTCAGTCACAGAATGTAGACACAGCTGGGGACTTTTATAGAAGGCTATAGAAGCTTTGTGAGGGGCTGCCCTAGGAAGGACCCCTGCTGCTCTCCATCTGTGAATCTCATACCTTGTTAAGTGATGCTGCCTGACTCCCTGAAACACACACACACACACACGCACGCACACAGGCATGCACAAATCCATGCACACTTACACACATGCACACTCTCACACACTCACTCACATACTCACACACACATACACACACACTCACATACACACTCTCACACACATGCACACATGCACACAATCACACACAAATGCACACACTCACACATGCACACACACTCGGACACACACACA